TTCAGACAGCAGTCACAAAAGCTTTGAATGCCTCAACTCTCTATCACATCCAAACACAGCTCAGATATTGCAGGGAATCAGCTGATGCTCCCCAATTCAGGGACAACCAGTGCCAACATAAGCCAGAAACTCAAAGCTCCTTGCCTAACTGAGCCAGCTGCTAGAATCGGGTCCCTCACAACGCAAGTATGGCACAGGAAAACTCCGTTTCTTCCGTGTATTCTTTGTTCACTTTCTTTTGCCTTTGCATGAGTAACGTTAGGGTGACAATACCTCCTCCAGCTCTACTACTGGTAATTTACCCTGTGCAAGGTGGTTTTCTGCTGAGAACCTCTATCCTACCTAATGCCACTTTGCTCTGTCCCTGCAGGGTCCAACCCGTAGGTTTCATCACTAGCATGCAATACACTTCTTCATGAAGTGACCTCCTTCATGACAGAGGCTGCCAGTTACACCAGAGAATTTGCATAGATACAAAAATGCGATGGTGTGTTCAGGTGTACAGTGTAGTATGTCCTAAAGTGTAGTGTGCTAAAATATTCCAGAAAAACAGATGGCTTGGTTTAAAAACCAGAAGATTTAACACAGTCCCTGTTAAAAGCAGAGGTGGCACAGTATAGAAGAGAAGCTGCTGTTCTTCACAGCTTCATTCAGAAGCCTGAGGGTCTCAAAAGTTAGGACTGCAAATATTTTAGTACCTAAAGTGAAAACAGTACATCTTTCAGATGTTCTGAGCATTTTAAACTGTGGCTTAGAAACGTATCTGTCCTCCCCCCCAGCACACAGGATAACATACCTCCCCAGAAAAGCATCACCATATTGTAGTTTCAGGGGACTGGTACCAAAGTCCCTTCCCTTTATCACTTCTACCCTCACTCTGAAAAGGTTAGCATTATTCATCTACTAACGTGTTTTGGCCTTCACAAGTCAAATTCAAGGTACTGATTTTGTCCCTTGTCTTTCTTTTTTTTCCCTTTGAAAATGGAATTTATCAGTGTCTTTCACATCAGTCTACAACATTTCCCATCTTACTTTACAAAGATTTGCAGTTAAAGGGGAAAATGCTTTGCTTCTGAAAAACAAGAAAAGGAACAAATATGTCTCTTGCCCAAAAATCCTAAAAATCCTACTTATATAAACAATGTCCCATTTCCAAAGCTGCAGAGATTTCTTAAGTTCAGCAAACAGACTGTCTGCGCTGCATTTACACAGAGCCACGTTCATTCATCACTTTCAAGTCTAATTACCAAGCCATTTCCCTCTTGGCAACCTATAATGGCCAGAAGAATTAGGTTTTACATGGTCAGGATACCAAGGGATAACAAATACCCATAACTCTTTGCAGCTGTGCAATTTGTAAAGCCTTTCAAGCTTTGTCCGGGCAAGGGATTACTGCGAGGCAAACCTCCCTCCTCATGTGCTGCTGTATCTGGACCAGTCCTGCGGATCTCGCTTCAGCGCAGTCTCGCCTACAAAAAGTCATTAACAACATCTTTCAAAACTAAGGAGAAAGAAAAAAAAAAGTTGTAACCCGCTCGTGGAAGCAAACGCTAACTAGAACCACAGAATGGTGGAAAAGGCTCCATGCATCACGTAGTTCACCTCTCCCGGTGCACAACTGCTCCTCGCTGCACGTTAATCCGTGAAACATCAGTTTTGTTTTAAAGATGTCAAGTGGTAGGTTACTGGAGCTTCTCCCATATGACTAACTCACAGTGAAGGAGAATTGTCTACCAAAAGCCTTTCTGATTTGCAGAAGTTTTTCCTATCTTAATCATTTTTCCTATTCAAAACTCATCATGACACCTCTAACTTCCTACAATGCTTTCTTTGGCAGGTTTATCATCTATTCTTTAGAATCAGTTATAGTGAATGCCTCCCTTTTTCTTTATAGTCAGTCCATTCAGCCCCTAATTTTTTATTTTCAATTCTCTCTAAACTTCCTCTAACATCTCAACATAAACAGACAGAGAGGGAAAAATCTCCCAGGAGCGCAGTGTAACAGAACAAAATGCAGAAATGAATGCAGCTCAATTTATCTTTATCTATCTTCACTACTACATTGGAAACTCAAGTCCATTCAGAATCACCCTCTCATCTTCTTGCATCAAGGATCTCCGGACTTCTCCATCAAGCAACTGCTCCTTACACTGAACTATTTTTCTTCAGAGGTGCAGGATTATATTTTTGTAAATTCTCTTCGAGGTTGGTATGTATCTAGCCCACATTTTTAATTCTTTGATTAATATGTATTAGTTTGCTGCCTACATGCAAAATTGGGAGGGGGGTGTGGACAGACAAGAAGAAAAACCCAGGAGCTTATTTCATATAGATAAAACACATGGATATGGAAGTTCTAAGCAGGCTGGATAAGAAATAATCTTATCAGAAATAATATGTATTGACACTGAACAATGTCAATTAATATAATTTTTGCTGGCTTAAAAGTATTATTTCTTGTAATTAATAAACACGCACAAATACATTTTGCAAAACAGAACTGCTACACGAGACAGTTCCATTAGGTAGAGTGTTAGATGTATTACAATTACGGAGTTATGGCTTGGGAATGTATAATAAATAAAACACAGTGGCATATCTGAACACAGCTACAGTGTTCGCCATGGAGCAATGGCTTGTGCAGTGACAGAGACTCCACTACATGATGGAAAGGAGACATTATATTGAACGGTGCAAACAAGAAAATTCCTTAGCTTTCTTCATCGACCTGTACTACAATTAATTACAAAGTCTATTAGTTTGTATGTGCCTGCTGATGAGAAGGGATTGTTTAGTGATGTCTACAGAAGGTTGGGAGTAAAACGTTTGTGTTTTAAACCCACAAACTCAAATCTAAACAAGTAATAATGGGTTAATGAATACTTGGCAAAGTGCTTTGAAGAGCAAAAGCATTAAGCAATTACTCAATGTTATTTCACATCTGTATTGCAGGTCTGAACTACGCATAAAACTACTCACAACTTAACAGTTTAGGCTTCTCTGTATCTCTGGACACGTCCTGTTAGGATGAGGAGAAGTTACCTACCCAGGAGATTTGGGATGCAGCACATTCTGCACAAAGCCTAACAAGGATTTAAACTGAGAGGAAAAACTTTTACAAAGCTGTATCACAGAGTGTTTTTCACTGCCAAGGCAGAGAAAACTAATTCAACCTACAGAGGGAATAGGGAGACAATATAAACAGGTGTTTCCTTGAAAACTTACTTCAGTATGGTTAGTAATAGTACAGGAAATGGATCTCCAGAGGCCACAAATCGTTAGCATCTCTAATGCATTTGCAAATTCCTACTGTGCAAAGTCAGCCTGTAAAAAAAGGCCATTTCTAGTAAGTGCCTTGTCTGGTTTCCTACACCATTTAATTTCAGATGAATTTTATGAGAACTCTGCTACATATTTTACCTCCCATCTGGTTCAGATTTGACAATGAAATATTTGTGTGTCCCACCCTGTTCTTTTTAAAGCTCCAAAACCAGATGTCTCCAGCACAACACGACTGCAGCAGGTCATACCACATTCTTCAGCAAGCTGTGCCAGGCCTACTACCCCCCACAGACAGTTCCAGGTAAGGTAAAATTGGGTTGTTTACTCCCTAAAAGAATAAAGCAAACAAACAAACAAACTCAACACCTCTAGGGCACTCTGTGAAAAGGCTGATTAAAATGTACTATGGCTTATTCTTCCAAAAGGTTTTATCTTGATGAAGTGGTGTTTCTGAAAGCTAAACACATTAAGAATTGCAGCAGGGGGAGGTATTTTTTCCCCCTCTATTGGCTTGATTCCAGCACACATTTTTGCAACTTCTCTATTGTGATAAGCAGGCAGGTGTTCACAGGGTGGCTAGCATTTCTAGGAAGTTTACAAATTTCACAGTTGCATACATTGCATATGAGAAGGATGCTGATGAAGATGTCTTCTATCAGATTTTGCATTTTCAATGGCAAATGTGTTCATTTCTTAGCAGTTTCACAGGGCAGCTCTATGCTGCACCTGATGCCACCTCCTATAACATAAACAATTTATTTGTGCCGCTGAAATGTCAGAATGACACCTTTTATCCTTTCCTGCAGATACAAATTGCCCTTTTGCAATACAAAGGAATCTGTATGGATGCCGAGGTAGCTTCTTTTCCAGAAAAATGATGAAGTTGCAATGTGCCTTTAAACGGGACAATACTTTCTACATGCACATATTTGACAGTTTTTCATGCAAAACAAAACAGAAAAAAAGTACTTGCTCTCAACAAGTGATAGTATTTTATAAGAAGGTATCCCCCAAGACAGACCACTTACAGAGCCTCTCAAATCTTAAATGCTATAGTAGCAACTAAAACCTGCTATAATCCTCCTTCAGACAAGAGCTAAACATCTCTCGGAATCATCACAAAGCAGGATATTTAAAAAAAAAAAAAAAAAATTCTTAGGTGCTTGCACAATAATCCCTTTTTAGTGTCACTCATGAAAGGACATAAATGCTCTCAAATCTTTTAATGAAGTTTTTCCCAGTCTGGCAAACTGTTTAAATATAAGTATAAATTTAGGCATATGAGTAGTTTCCTTGGAAATTCCCGCGTTATATAGCATATGATCATATTGTTTGCTTGATGGAGACACTATATTAGGCCAGTGCAACAACCCTGGGAAAAGAAAGAAGTTAGTTACTGGAAATAAATGCAAGCTAAAACCACAGAAAAGAGCCAAAGAGCATGAGAACCAG